CATCCACATTTAGTATATAGAAAGGCCAAGTAGTTTGACAAAAAAAAAATAAATACAGTTTTTATTAATGTACTGCTTTTCTGAATGCTTTATTACCACATTAGAAGCCTAAATTTGCAATTGAAAACAGCTGCTATTTGGCTTACTTACTTTCTATTTCCTGAACCAAAGTAAGCAGTATGTCCTACCAGAATCTCAGACTTTTGAAAAACAGATCAGTTTTCATGAACTCTGAGACCAAGAGTTCTCAGCTGATTCAAGTTTCAGTGAGACTTTTGCCTGAGAAAGTATAGCAGAACTGCTTGACAATGGCCAGAAACAGCTGCCTCCTACTCAGTAGGTCTTTTTTGATCCCAGTTTATTTTGTCTTGGGAGAAAAAAAAAATGCGACCATTAGATGTAAAACACATTCATTCACCTAGGAGCATAATCTAAGAAATATTAGTCACAAACATTAACGTTGGGTAGATCATATCGCATTTATCGCCTGAAGGATGTGGTGCTGGTATAGTTTGCATCATCAGAAAAGCACATCTACACATGGTAATGAGATTTTTTTTGTTCAGGGAAAGTCTGGGAGTGTCTAGAATCAATTTAGCATAAAAAAACCTAATGTACTTTGGGTTGTCATGGGATCATCACAGGTGTGAGGACAGTTTTTCCTCCCACCACCCATCTGGCTGTGTTGTTTGCTACTGCACCAAATATTGAGGCTGCTCCTGAGGGGAGCAGCAGACCTCTGGGGAAGTGGCAGTAAGCTGAAAGGCATGAATCCTTCTCTGAACAACGGAAAATCAGCTAGGAACAAGACAGAAAAACTGCTAATCCCCAAGCTGCAAGCAAGTTCCTTGTCTGGAGATAGGTACAGCCTGCTTATCTTTAAGTTATGATTTCCAGCCTTCAGAAAACTCAGATGTAATGGGTTGTACTTGGAATATATGTTTTATATTGCTTTTGCAGTGATAATATACCCTTTCTGCCTTGAAATGAGTTTTGCAAAATAGAAAAAGGTAGCTCTGGAGAAGAGTTACCGAAACACATTGCTATGTTTTTCTTATTTTCAAACACCGAGTAACATTTACATTGAAAGCAAAGAAGCCAAACAGGCAACCGAGCAGAAAGGAGAGCTGGAAACAGCAAATACATAGAAAGTTCTGAAATGCAGAAGTTTATCCTAATGTTTACCCATATTCTAATGCTTCAAGAAGACCGAACACTTTGACACAAGTTGAAGAGCCTTTGCCAGCCAGACTGTTTGATGTTGCATTGGCTCTGTGACAAAGCCAGTCCGTACAGGAATGCTGGCATTGTTTTCTGATCAAAGAGACCCCTAATGGCATCAAACCCGAGTTGTGGTCTGACATGTTCTCCTCCCTCAACCATCACTTCTCTACATTGCCATCAGCTTTCTCTTCAGCCATCGCACTATGATAGTCTGCTAGCATAAGCATGATCAGACTTTTATTTCAGATGACAAGAACTGATTTTCATATTTTGATATTCTGCTATGCTTGGTAAGGAGACAGGAGGTTGTGAGCATATTATGGCAGTGCAGAAAATGTTGCTTTCAGAGTACGGTGATATTTGGTTTCTGTTGGTTCCAATGATATTGCAAGAGAAAAAGGAAGCAGGAGAGCTTTAGTAATTCTTGGATTAAGCCCTTGTGCAGCATAAGAGTTCAATGTGTCTTTAAAACTAAGCATTTACTTAAGTTCTTTTTATAAAGGACAGACATGGAGCAACTGTGGCTATAGCAGGATACGAGTGGGTTAGCCCAGTAACCCATGCAGGCATCCTGCACAGGATGAGATGCTGCACATTTTTGTAGTTCTGTCCACTAATATTTGTCTTTGCTTTCACAGATAGTAAGAGGGTCTTATAATTTCAAATAAAAGTAAAACTGATTAGATATTATGAAATCAAACATCAGATGCTCAGAAAATATAGCTTCACCAGTGGCAACTGAAGCGCGGTAGAGTTAAGTAACTCCATAACTCGAGTCTCAACTTGCTAGTGCTAGCTTCTCTGCTCAGATGTGACATAACCCATCAAAAAGCACTTTACGGAGCACTTACAGAGAGAGTTAAGGTCTTACTCATTGCTACGTTGCTTCACAAACTCATATTGTCCACTGCAATCATTGTTGTCGCTGTAATTCAAATTTCTCTTTTGTTGACTTTGATTGCAAATATATATGATGACAATCAGAGTGAACATGAGAAAATGCACCAGTCATTGATGCTACAGGCTGGACATTAGCTCCTGCAGTCACCACCTGCCTTTAAATCTTTTAGTGGTCTAGCACTGTCTCCTTGGAAGCAAGGAATCCAAGCAGATTCGTCTTATAGTTTTTGAGTAGCTGTCATCAGTTTAAAGCGACTTAGCCTTAGCAGATATTCCATCTTCACTTTATAGCACAGTGGACCTAACCTAAACCAGTGAAGACAGATTCCTGTCAAAGCTGTAGTAGACGTCAGGGATGGATGAGAACACTTAGAAGAAAACAACTATTTTAGATCTTTGTACAGCATAACTCAAACTGAATTTATTATGAAGCTTGAAGTTCTGAAATGTCCAAATACATTTTACTGCCTTCTGGTTTCCAGATGGGTCTGCATCCAGAACACCAGAATACCACAAAAATGCTCCTTTTTTCCTGCTGCAATCAGAAGCAGCTGCAACAGAAAGCTATAGAAAAGTCTGCCTCTTAGAAATGCCTGTGTCTGTTTTTCAAAATAAAAGAAGTTTAGATAATTTGAGTAAACTTTGCAGGGGCATCCAAACATTTAGAACTGCATTAGAACACACATTTCTCTGCTGTTCAGTTTCCCCATTGATCTAGGGAATCACATTTCTAAAGCAATTTGTTGGAGTGTCAAGGTAGCACCCTTACTATTACTACTGTTTTATTGACTGTGACCATGTGCAGTGACGAATTTAACATTTTTGGGAGACAAACTGTTATTCAGCATCCCACTGAATTCTATTCAAAATCCAACAACCAACCAACATTTTGTGGTTTAACCAGCAACGTGTCAAGTGCCCCCATGATTAGCTGACTCTGACAGTTGAAGGTATACAATAATTTCAGAAGCTGTACAGCACCTTGCAAGATCAAGATCATAACGAATTTTTTTACTATTTGTACTTCCATTGTAAAGCTATTGTCTGCCTTTCCAATTTGGCTTTGCAGTCCTTCTATTCAGCAGGCTTACACAGCTAGATGTGCACACCCTGTTCAAAACTTGCCTGTATCAAGCATACCATATGGAAATATGCATGAACATGCTGATGCATAAACCAAATGGTGAGGTGCAGGGAAATGAAGGTGATTTTAAAGATTTTATTTTTATTTGACTTTATATAAAATTAAAAAACAAAACAAGATTATAATTTAACCAAAGAATATCTTCATTGATATTAGTTCCCAGTATCTAGTAAGAGGGGATAGTATCTAAACAAATATAAATAAGTGAAGAAGGTGAATATTAATGCTTGGGCTTATATGGAAGTTGACTGATACTTGCAGCAATCCTGACTCATAATAAAAATGATTTATTTAAAGATTTATTATGAACATTGCAGGAAAGGAGATAACAGACATGCACCACTGTTTACAGTAAAATTTCCTGTAAATTAAAAAGAGTTCTTATTCTCTGTTTGGTTTTGATTTGGTACTGTACCAAGTATCTGTTTATAAAAGGAAACATGCTGGTACAAAGTGTACAAAGTGAATTGCAAAACAGATTAACAGTCAAGGTGAATTTGCTTTAAATTAAGTTCTAGCAACAGAGACACTGTAGATTCCATGAAGGTAAGGAAAGTCAGTCTAAGGCAGATCTTCCGTGCACCATTACTGAGAGCTGAACTGCCTGAAATTCAGGTCAGAAAGCTGCTCTCCAAACTGGGATTGGTGTTAGCCCCACAGCAAACGCATGGGTCACTCTCAGAATCAGAAGAGTATAACCTTAGCAATATGCCATGCTCCAGCCACCCTAATCTGTGTGCTGTGCTGCAATGATCTCAATCCCAAAAGCTGGGTTCTCCAAATACTTCTTTCTACACATTCCTGAGGAACTTTAGCTACCAGTGATGTTATTCAGAACTGGAGACCATCAGCACAGTGCGGTAAGTGGAGATCCTAAGAGAGCTAAGATGGGTTTATTTTACTGAGCTGCCAGTGCATACAGTAATGACGTTAGAGACCCATCAGTGAGAAAAAGCTTGAACTGCCTTTAAAAAAAGATTCAGGTGATGAAGATATAAGGCAGGAAAAAAATGTTGCAGTGCACTACAAAAGAGAAGTTTGATATAAAGTAGGTAATGTGTTTCAAAGAGATTATGCCTTGAGGACTTTTTCCTATAATCCATTTTTGCTGAGCTTTTTTTCTTCTAATACTGCCTAAACAGCTTATTAAGGGGTCTTTCTGAAGTCACATTTATGTGACAAAGTATGTTGCAACCTCAAATTGTCCCATCCCACAGAAAATCTTCTGGGAGGAGTCTTAGACGAAGACAATGTATTCACAGTTGAAAAGGAATAATGAAAAAAGACATCACATGTTTCATGTTTCATCAGAAAAGCAGAAAACAACCTGTTCTTGCAGAAGCAATTCCCTTAGCTGAATTAGCCCTGGTGCCAGCCTAGGGCTAGCCTCTCTAGAGATCTGAGAACCAGGACTAGGACTTCATGGATCTCCAAAGTATCCACCCAGGGGAAGAAAACGTTTGTGGAAGGAAGTGCTGGACCCAGGTCATATTAATTCTCCTTGCACATGCAACAACAGATTTACATGGAAGATAAAATCCTGAAATTATTATCTGGAGGCCAGGAGTTACACATATTCATGGGGTTTATGCTAAACAGTTCTAAGATCTATTATTTGATATTTAGTGTTATGAAATTAATGCTGGATTTTTAAAATCATTTAGTTAAAACCGATTTGCAGACAATCCTGTGTATACAAGTTCAATGGTTTAGAAGGTATGTTGGCACTTACCTGGGGGTACGTGTTCATTCATGATGACGAGCGATGCTGGTGTAGGCCTTCTTTTCCTGATCTGTAACAGGTATAAATGAAGGAGAGTCGTTAGGGTCCATCAATTGCCCCGCACACAAAGCGAGCGAAGCAAAAAATCCATCTGGTGTCCTCCTGAGTATAGACCAGGCAAAGTTAAAAAAGAAAATATTTAAAGAACAGCAGCACATCATTGTCTTACTGACTGCTCATCCAGTCTGACAGTGATCAGGGTCATGCTGCTGCTTGTACATGGAAAGTAAAGGCACAGGGCAGAGCTTTCCAAAATACCTTTAGGATTTGCAATCATCTTGAATAAGTTTTTGGACATGTACTGCGGACATATATCAGTCATATCTTAAAATATTTACATTTGGCATTGCGTCAGGAAAATTATTCCAGCAGTTTGTGAGCTTATATGTGCAAATACCCAGTACTGTCATTGCTCTCACAAATAATCATTAATAATAGTGTTTTTTAAGTGCACTGGAGAGTTAATATTGCATGTATGCCTTCCAATGAATTTATGAGATTTCTAAATGGTGGCCAGAGGTGTTACTACTGTTTTTTAACTAAAGAAGAACAATACTTAAGACTTTCAAAAGAATATATTCAAAGAGCACTATACAACAGATCTTTACATATCAATATATAATCCTGAATTTTATGGAATTCTTATTAGGTGTTTATTTGGTTAAGTACTTTTGTTCTATTAACAGTGGTTGAACTACATGATATTGGACTACCCTCCTATAATGCACACATTTGCACTGAAAGCTTTGTGTCGCTTCACTAAAGCCTCCAGACTATTGATATTCTATTGAATTTAAGAGAAGGACCAAGAGTATTTAAGCTAGAAACCATTCTGACACAACATCTCAATGTCAGTGTGTTTGTACTTTTTTAGTTGCTGAGCCAACATCTGTATTTAGCTGGGTTCAAATTTTGCTTTCAGAGGTGTAAATGGAAAATTACATCATCAGGGTTAATGGGTTTATTCCAGATTAGTGTAACTGCAGTTGACAGCAGAATTTACTACTTTGATTTCATCACACACCCACAGTGAAACTGTACAGCACTTGGAATTAAACTCACACCAAAAAAAAAGGACTGCCCATAAATACTGGGCAGAATGTGGTCCACAGCATTTTAAAAGCCATGAGAATTCCAGGAAATCCTAATCCTATGGTTCTCACAGATTTCAGAAAAATAACAGAAGACATCCTGCTTGAATTCATTTCAGGGCTGTTCCATAATGTATGGACATCTCACAGGTCAGAAGTACCTATGGACAAAATGAAGACCTGCAGCAATTCTCTCCCGCACCCTTCTAATATTTCTTCGTTCAGTGGTCACTCACAACTCATCATTTTCTGGTGAAGGTGTCTGCCTTTTAAGAGGCACAACATCAGAATATTCAGGAAACCAGATACCTGTCCTAAAGGTGCCAATAACTTCATAGCTAATGGCACAGAACTGTCAAGGTTATAATATTCCCCTGGTATCATCTAAAACTAGACTTACCGAAATAGAAGCAAATGTCGAGAAGGACTTGCACTGAGAGAAATATACTGGGTCACCTAATTACGATTTATCCAGCTTTTCTCGTAAGATTCCCTGTGTCCTTCTTTATGTGCATCTACACGTAACTGTACACAATAATAGATATATTTTCCTCCTTAGATGTCTGTATTGCTATATATATTATATGTATGTGTATGTTTTGGGAGTGAGTCAAAACCTAAAATAGCACACGCATAATTCCAATGCAGACATAAGTCAGGCATATTTCTACACATATATATTTTTCAAATATGTAAAACACAGTAACAATGAGATAAAGAAGACTGTATAGAAATAACGAGAAATATAGGAGGTAACTGAAGTGCTAACTATTGTGCAAAACATAACTTGTATTTTCTCCTGTTAAAATGAATGGTAAATAAGCTGTCTTCTGCACAGTATTTCCATTAGGTAACTATTATCAGCTTCATGTTTTGCTTTGTGTACAAATAATATACTTTGGTTGATTTGTTGGGAATGTGTATTCATGTGAAGTGTATATATTAGGGTCCAAGTCCAGTTATAGAAAAGGCACAACAAATATATACTGAATAAACCTACCCAAAGTAAAGAAGCCTTATTCTGGCTAGAGGACATATCCTTCTCCCTCTTTGGGTACATCCAGACATTGCTATGACCTCCGAAGCATTTAATCTATAGTTACACTAATATAAGTTAGAAAAGCACTTAGGCCACAAGTATTACCTGTTCTCACCCCACATCTTGCCCCCATTCCCACCCCGTTCCCTCAAAACAGCAAAAGAAACTCGTCTTCCTTACCTGCTCAGCTGCCTCAGGATCTATTTGACTCTGAAACAGTGGCACAGCAAACTGTATTTTTTTAGGGCTGTTGGGCTCCATTGTGATGCTGAGGTGAACCAGAGAGAAGAGCCTGGAGCTTGAGACCCGGTCTGCACCTCTCCCTGGGCCCTCCCCACAGCCTCGGTAGCAGCTGTAACTCCCGACTTAGCACAGGAATCTGTGTGAGCTGAGCAACTCCCTTATTCCACATCCACGGAGATGCCACTGGCTTGGCTATTTTCTTTTTTTTCCCCCTCTTCCCTCTCTTCTGCAGTCCTTCAGATCCTCTCAGCACAAAGCTGAGAGGAACAATAAGCTAATTGTGTACCAGTTCACTTCTACGTATGCCAAGCATTCACTCAGAAGCTAATTGAAAATGCAATACTAGCATTGCATGGCCTGGAGCCCTGGGATTTGAAAAAGAGGATCTCTCCACCGTACATTACTAACTGGCTGCTCAGAAGTGCAATGCAAGCTCCCTCTGAGTATTGCTGATGGGCTCTTAATTATTGATGAACACAAATCAGGAAGTTTTCAGATTTTGGGGGTGGAGGTAGCAGGAGGGGTGGATGCAATCATTCCATCTCTGTTACAGTGTGCCAGAACTGCTCTCTTCTTATGTATGAAACTACTGCCTTTGCTATTTCAAATCCTTTTCTAAACCTTTTCCAGGAAGATTTTTGATGATGATGCTACACAGATGCCTACATTTTCATGAAGCTTATCTGGTGTGCTAAGTGGGTTTGCACCTGAGGCTGGGTTTGCAGATTTAGACTGCAGTTTCTTCTGGTGGGCTCCATCTCGCAGGACTTCAAATAATGAGAACATCCACATTTAAGCCAGCTATCTGGGCTTCCTCATGCTAGACATATCAAAGGGCATTTCACCCTGATCTAGTTAAGTGGAATATAGTGTTTACTGGAGATGACATTTTCTCTCCATTAACCCTAGAAAAAGTAAAGAAGATTCAGACTAGTTACCTCATTTTTAGATGGCTAAAATCTGGAGGGTCAAATCCTATTTCAGGGTACAAAATCTGTGCCTTCTTCCAAGCCAAGGAAAAGAACTTAGTCAGTCATACCAATGGCACCCTTTGGTGAATATAACTGATTTCCACTTTTCATTTCACCTTAATTCAAACGAAATGTATGAAACAATACACAGCAACCACTGACTTAACCGATGTCTTTGCTTAGGGTAGCTGACCACGGCCAAGCAGCATAGCAGAGCCCCTGCCACAAAGGTGTATTTGATGCCAAAACTGCATCCACGGAAGGAAAATGCTCCAGAGCCAGTTCAAAGGGCTATGCTGAAAGCTTAGGTCTAAGCCGAAGAGCATCAAGTCAATCTCCTGTTACACACTAACCGCCAATTTGGAAGAAAGAGAAAACTAAGTGCAGTGGGAAAATCCAGACTGGCCCAGGCCATCACAGAATCGGCTCTACCTGGGATGAGGCTACCTGCAGAGAGAAAGTGCACTTTGGTCAGGCTTTTGGAGGGCCTGTGAACATTCTGAACAGGGAAGCGAAACACAACCAGCCAGAACAAGGAGCAAACAGATGAAATACACAGAGAGGAGTAACAACTTGAGTCTGCCTCTGACAGACTGCAGTAAGGAAACAGAGAAGCAGTTGAATTCAGAGCTGAGGCTGGACATCACCAAAACTCAGAGGAATTTGAAAACATGTTTCTTGTTCAGGTCAATGAAAGCACTAGGGATTTTCACAGTTCATCGCAGGTTTATTCAGAGTCACCAAGTATTTTCCCTCCTGTGCCAGGGGAGGAGGCGGGGAAGGAGTGGGGATCACGGTTAAGAACAATGCACAGGCCGTACACAGCAGAATAAACCAGCACATCAGGGATGGAGTGTTTGCTTGGCTTCGATTTATACAAATGAAAACCGCTGATGTACTATTGGAATACCAGGGTATTTCTGAACAGAGGCAAGCACACTAGCTAGGTGGTTTATGAAGAATCTGATAAAGTTCAGGAGGTAATAATACACTAAAAGACCCAGTTGACTCAGTGACCAAAACTAACTCCTAGTGAGGGCTGAAATTTCCCTCCTCATCCAAATCAAAACTAATGTGTACCATAGCAGTTTCCAGCTGACAGCTAGTAGCTGACAATTTTCTTGTTAGATTTATTGTGATAGTTTAGTTTAGGCGGCATTAACTTGGAATTGTAGAACCACAGAAGAGTCTCCCTTGGAGAGCACTTCTGGAGATAGCTGGTCCCACTTGCTGCTCCATGCAAGGCCTGAGAGCAGGTTATTCTGGGCCTTCTCAGGCCAAGTCCTGAATATTTTCAGTGCTAAAGTGAAATGCTTAGTTTCATTTACCACAACAAATGAGACACACACACAGAATAGTGATGTTCAGAGTTTCATATGATCATTTTTAAGCCTTCACTGTTCCTAGAAAGACAAATCATAATTTGCTTTATAGACTTCCACAGACAATTCGAGCCAGAGTGCAATTGCAGCAGTTTTGCTGGTACAACGAAGAGTCTAAGACACTAAAGTAAGAGAGGCACACGTTGCTTTCACTAAGGACAATTAGAGAGTTGTTTTCAGGACAGTCCAATTATCCAGTTTCACAAGTCCTTCATGAACAGACATGCCGTTAACTTCAATGACAGCTTCAGACATAGCAGATATACACAAGGATACACCTGCGGGAGGACATACACAGTGATCTGAAGTTATGGCTTTTCTCTGATAAATTTTCATACTTGAAAGAAAATAATTTTTCTTTTCTCAGTTCCAGATAATGTGAGGAAATGTTTTCCAGTTGCTTTGCTATTATATATATTAATAAATAGTAAATTTTAAATATCGGGTTTCTGTATGAAAAAACTATTTGCCATAAAATATCTATTATAGCTGACTATGAAACTTCATGTATTAAATTATGCTACAATTACAGTGTATGTTACCATACTACAGGAGCTATAATTCTCATTACAAAGGCTAAAAATTTCTTATGTTAAGGAAAAAGTCAATTGAAAAAACACATTCAGATAGTGACAAATATTAAAATACTAAATCCTCAAAGGTTTATAGAGGTGTGTTTCAGCTCTAGACTGCAGGATATTGCTGTCTAAAGGAATCATATCTCAAAGTCATTGCTAGCAATGGTATCTGAGAAAAAAGCTCAGCAATCATATGAAGAAACAAACCAACACAACCACTTCTTGGCAGGTTCAGAAGGGAGCCAGACAAGAGGACAGGACAAGACACAAGGACAAGCCCTTGATGGGGCTGCTACGCCTCGGAGAGCAGCCCGCCAACGATGCCATGTGGAGATATTTGCCTCTGCAGCTCTCCTCTCTGTGCCTATTTGGAGCTAGCTGCCCTGCAACCTTCACATGCACTATAACAATAAAAGTATTTTCACAGTAGTATAAGAGGTACTTTTCAAAAAGCACTTGGATATAGCATTTCAGGATTACTACATCAGCTCACTCTTACACCTAATTTGCAGCACTAGATGTCTCCAGGCAAAGTGTGCTTGCATTTTCTATAGACTGCATCATAGTCTGGGGAAGAGCTGAAATGCATTTAAGTACTGCCAAATCCTTTTAGCTCATCTCCTGGTTTTAGTGCAATCCCCACAATGTTTCAAATTCCTTCATGATTCAGCTAAAACTAACATGGAAGAAAAAATAATAATAACAACTGTCTAAGATCTTTCCTTCCTATGTCATTCATTAGGTTCTGCTATGAAGCACTGCGTTTTAAAATATCCTACTGTAGTGACGAGCTATCAGAGTACTCACGGCACAGTTCCTGCTTGAGATATTTTCCCTGTTGTGTTAGGAGAGGTTTGTATTTTTTTCCCAGCCAAAGACAAGGCTGCTGGGAAGGGAATTCAAAGGTCTCTGTCCTGCAAGCTCCTTACAGAGTTTCTGTTGTGGCTGTGATCTGCCTCAGCTTCTCTGCTGTGGTCGGGGACTACTGCAGCATCTGCCTGGAGAGGAGAGGAGATAGCTGGAGCTCCTTGTAAAGCCAACCCACTTAAGGCTTTGGCTTGTAATTTCACCAGTGGCAATGCAGGGAAGCACTCAGTTACTCTTCTCTGACCCACCAGGCTGCCTTTGCAGAGCAAGGACTCGGCTTGGAAGTGGCACTTCTTCCAGCGTGGCTCTTAGGACATAACTTTAATCTCCATTGTAGCCACTGAACCTCTAGCCATGCCAGAACCTCTGCAAAGATCTGTTGATGCATGCTTTCCTTGGGTTCTCCTGCTGAGACCTCTCCTCACACCAGTATCTCCTCAGTGTACTGCTGGGCAGCCCCAGTGGTACCGGCGGAAGAAACGCTGCAGAGCACATTGCTTCCCAGCTGCTGCTCACCGGTTTTCTGTGACAGCCAAAGGGGACTTTAGTGTGCCTCTTCCTTCTGCCCTTTTCTAACAAACCAATAAACAGTTTTTTCACTGCCTCTGTCCATACAGAGGCATCAGTTTCACAGCTCTCTGTGTTGGTCATGGGCAGAAGGGAGGCTGAAAGCATGAGTGCTGGACACGGTCTTTGCAGTGCACACCATACCTGTTCATGGACAGGTTTTCCTCTTGCGGCTCTACACTGGGCATTGCTCATCGGTGCTAAAATCAGATGCAAGCCTTCCAAGAATAAACAATGACATATTCAAAATAACTCTGAAAGTTTCCTTTCAAAATAGCTAAATACAGGCCTTGCAATCAGGGTGGCTCCCACTGAACCACTGGAAACAGAGTCTGCTATTTACATGCAGAAAACGTCAAGAATTTAAAATCTGCAAGGGTGGATTAACATAGAGCAGATCGTGTCTGTCTTATGAGCAGTAAGTGCTGCCGCAGGCAGGCCAAGAAGAACAGAAAGTCTTGTTGAGCAGCAACAGAGTCGGTGGGACATTCAGTGAGAGCTGTTGGCCTAGTAACAGCCTACCCCAAATTTCCATCACCAGTACTCATCCATCAAATACCAGGCTTGGACATGCTTATGTACTAACTACATACATGGATTCATAAAGCCTAGAGAAGTAAAAAAATACAGCTATTTCTATTTATACAGTCTCT